GAAGGCTGAGTCAACCTTGAGCTAGTCAGAATTGAACTGCTGGCAGTCGGCAGAATTAGCCTGCAATGCTGCATTCTAACCACTGCGCCACCACAGCTCTTGTTCCCTGAAAAGAGGAGACGGCATAGAAAAGCACAGCAATAAGTTAAAGGTCATCCCTCAATACAGTAACAATAGTGTTACTGTATCTAAATTATTATTTCTTAAATAAAATCAGTTTTGATCTGTCTTTTACTGCAAACGGATTGGAGAGAGACTATACTCCAATTCCCAATTATTTCCTAGAACAGTGATGGTGAACCTTTTAGAGACTTGAGTGCCCAAACTGCAACCCAAAACCCACTTATGCATCGTCGAGTGCCGGGTGGGTGTGGCCCCATTGGCTGGGTGTGGCCAATTGGGTGGGCATGGCCAATTGGATGGGCGTAGCTGCAGTGGTAACGGCAGACTGGGTGGGACTAAAAAGTTCAATCAATTTCAACTTTGCAAGATCTTTTTTTTTCCGCGAGAAGTTGAAATGGACTGATTGAACCTTTTTTTTTGCACACGGCAGCAGAGGCCTAAAGCAAAAAGGTTTTATAAAACCCAGCTGAAGGCCTAGGACTGGGGCGACGGTGCACGTGCCCACAGAGAGGGCTCTAAGTGCCGCCTCTGGCACCTGTGTCATAGGTTCGCCGCCACTGTCCTAGAAGATAACAGGATTTAGAGACAATTAGTCTTGGTCCCTGTTCCTTCACTTAACCAATCTGCTTGAATATTGAACTTTTCCTTGATAATAATATACAGGTATGAAAATTAGATTTCTGTCCATCCATAACACAATCAAGGAACATCACAATCATATTTGCAAAGCAAATATTGGTAAAGCCAAGCTATTGATCAAATATCCTTCCTGTTGCCTCAGACATTTGAGCTATTGCCATTAAGATAGCTGGTAGTTTCACTATTATGTTTCTTCTGTGCTTTTGCATGTATTTGGTCTGGAAGTGCACCTGGATCTTAACTAAACTCAGTTTTTTAAAAACAAGGTTAAAGAAACTCTGGTTAGCATAATGAGATAGTTGCTTTATAGGAAATAGCAAAACTGACTTGTTTAGTTAGGGGTAAAACAATAAGTACTTTTATAAAAAAAACTGGAAACCCTTGCAGATTTTTTTGGTCAAAATGGAAAAAAATGAAATGGTGATTTGTGAATTTGGTGATCGAAAAAGGAGTTGAATATAGAACACAAGGGAACTCCCTAATGTAATTTGTAAAAGGAATAAAGGATAATATCTTTATTTGTACTAGCTGCAAAGAATATTAAATCTGTAATTATTCCTTTTTTCTTTAACTATATTGCTTTCTTTTATCTTACTTTATGTATTTTCATGTTTGTCTTTCATCCATCTAAATATTTTCAATAACAATTTTATAAAAAGATAGTTGCTTTATGGCAGAAATACTTCCAGGAAGACCCATTAATGAATAGTATTGCAGCTTGGATCTGAAATGAGCTTACTCTAGGGCAGGGATGTCCAATCTTGGCAACTTTAAAGAAATAATAATAATAATAATAATAATAATAATAATAATAATAATAATAATAATAATAATAATAAGAAGAAGAAGAAGAAGAAGAAGAAGAAGAAGAAGAAGAAGAAGAAGAAGAAGAAGAAGAAGAAGAAGAAGAAGTAGTAGTAGTAGTAGTAGTAGTAGTAGTAGTTGGAAGGGACCTTGGAGGTCATCTAGTCCAACCCCCTGCTCAGGCAAGAAACCCTATTCCATTTCAGGCAAATGGTTGTCCAATCTCTTCTTAAAAACTTCCAGTGTTGAAGCATTTACAACTTCTGGAGGCAAATTGTTCCACTGATTAATTGTTCTAACTGTCAGGAAGTTTCTCCTTAGTTCTAGATTGCTTCTCTCCTTGATTAGTTTCCATCCGTTGCTTCTTGTCCTGCCTTCAGGCACTTTGGAGAATAGCTTGACTTGTGGACTTCAACTCCCAGAATACCCCAGCCAGCCATGACAATGATCTCTTGTAATAAAAACAATGGCCACACTCCCTTTTCAATTCTTTGGGTGGGACTCGCCTCTTCTCTGTCATTTAGTAATGTCAGAAGAGCACTGAGGGGTGGAGGGGGGGTGGATGAGGATATATTGTATTGCTAAGAAAAGCTTCTACAATTTCTTTCAAGTCCTTTTATTGTACAAACTAGCTGTACCCGGCCACGTGTTGCTGTGGCTCAGTCTGGTTAAATGGAAAAGAAAGAAAAGAGAAAGCGCACGTTTGTAATATGTTTAATTTCACAATGCTTGTAGGTATACAATATACGTCCAACAGATGGCGCTGTTTTTCAAAAATAGCATGTTTTTACCTGTCACAGATCTATATAATATAGGTATATAAAAACACGCGCGTATTCGAATGCAACGTTGTGTCAAAATTTCAAAGCAATCGGTGAAGAACTTTCGGAGATTTAAGATTTTGAACAAACGAACATTTACATTTTTATTTATATAGATTGAGACAGCTGATCCCAGACTTTGTCCAGGATAATCAAAAGGGTTCTTAGAAACTTCTGCTGTGGCAGAGTATCTGTTGAAGAAACCTTTGTTTTTCAGAAGCTTCCCTGAACAGGAGATAAACCCCTTTACTTCCAAACGGAAGTCTTGCAAGAATTTTATCTCTCTATCATCTAGAACTACGTTAGCTTGGATAATATGATAGGGTGCATGTACTTTCTTCCAGGTTGTCGCAGAACAACAGAAGAATAAAAGGTCGCTTTGACTTTTTGTTGGACTCTTTGTTGAAACACAGAGGCAAGGCTACCAAAATAAAAGCAAGTAGTATATTCTGGCAGACCCAGCAAGTGAAATGGCATCTCCTACAGAGTAATGATGCACTTCACATTCGCTTCTCAAAGAACGATGTAAACCATAGTGGTAGAGAGTATATCTGCAATACTTTAAAGCACCTGAATATTTTACTTGGGGATTGCACCGCCTCGCACATCTGCCGTGTGGTCATAGCAAAGGACAATGGCCTTAAAACTTTGCCCACAAGTACTCCATTCACTGCCCTCTGTGCTTCAGAGTACTTTTTGGAGATCAAAAACAAAGCAAGACAGTGTTCATAGAGGGAATTTCCCTCTTCATAGAGGGAATTTCACAGAGGGAATTTCCACACCTGTCCCAACAATGAGCTTGAGAAGCTGAAGACATTTTTTTTTGGGGGGGGGGGAGGGGCTATTTTTCCATTTGTGAGAATTCATTTTGTTCAATCCTTGGGAGAGAGATTTCCTTCTCAGGCCACAAAACAGCCTGCAACACCAATTTTTCAACACCCCCACTGGTCCTCTGGAGGGCGTTTTTTTCCTCTGTCCTTCATCTCTCTAAGCCTTAGAAAAAGGTAATCGAGGCAGTGGAAATCTACAGCATGAAATAAGACATGAAGCCAATGGCTGAGTGGGCATGGCTTAAGTCTCTGCCATGCAATATATAATGATGGTGGAGGAAATGAAAGAAGGTCCTTCACAGACCACAATACAGGTAGTCCTAGACTTAGGACAACTGAGCCCAGAATTGCTGTTGCTAAGTGAAACAGTTGTTAACTGAGTCCTACTCCATTGTATGATCGCTCTTGCCACGGTTGTTAAGTGTATCACTGCAGTTGTTAAATTAGTAACAGGGCTGTTAAGTGAATCTGGCTTCCCCGTTGGCTTTGCTTGTCAGAAGGTCGCAAAAGCTGATCACATCACCCCAAGACACTGCAACCATCATAAATACATGCCGCTTGCCAAGCATCTGAATTTTGATCACGTGACCATGGGATGCTGCAACGGTCGTGTGAAAAATGGTCAGAAGTCACTTTTTTCAGTGGCGTTGTAACTTCAAATGGTTCCTAAAGGAATGGTTGTAAGTCAAGGACTATATTTATCCACTTGTGGCTATGGCCTAGAGGGGTAGGCAACCTTGGCTCTTTTATGACTCGTGGACTTCAACTCCCAGAATTCCTGAGCCAGCATGGCTGGCTCAGGAATTCTGGGAGTTGAAGTCCACGACTCATAAAAGAGCCAAGGTTGCCTACCCCTGGCCGAGACAGATAAAGGTGTTAATTTTTATCCATCAGCCCATAAAGCATAGGAAATGGCTACCAAAATGTATAGTAATGAGGCCAAATAGTAATGAGGCCAAAGATTGGTGACTGGTGCTGTCCTTTTTGTATTTATCCGAGACAAGTTAAAAAAAAATATTTGGGGTACTCCTCTAGCTCAGTTTCTTCTGCCACCCAGTGTCACCTGCCAGTGGAAGAACAAATATAGTAATTACCTGCAATATGGGTGCTTGGAACAACATTTTTGGCCACCTACTGTCTAATAATTCATGGCTATGGGATGTCTGTGAACTGGGAGTTGGGCTATTTCAGAACATGGGTCTAGTGCAGAAGTGGGCAACTATGGCAACTTTATGACCTGTGAACTTCAACTCCCAGAATTCCTAGGCCACTATGTGCCTTTTTGCAACACAAGCAGCAGCAAAGATGAATTAATGTCTGATAAGCATTTGCAAAGAAGATTCGTGTCCTTTTTTAATTAATGGAAGCTGCTGTCTTTTAAGTTTGTTATCATTTAGTTTTATTCTTTGAAGGACTTCATTGGAGTTGGGTGGCTAATAAATTCAAAATAAATGAACCAATCCTGATTGACAAAATGACCAACTCATTTAAATCATCTTATATTGAAAATACAGGATACCCCAAACCTACTTACCTTCTTTTCTTCTTCCTTCCTTCCTAGCTTATATAGGGATCTCCATTTTTATTTGTATAATAGCAACCTTGTGAGGTAATCATTCTCAAATAAGAACTTGATACTTGTTGGGTTACATCCTTGGTTAATGTTGATTATAACCACATGGTCCATTAAGAAAATCTATCTGTGATTGCTAGGAGTCAAAAACTACTCGAGGGCACATAATCCATCAATCAATACCAACATAGTAAATACTTCATTACTTTATTTTGAAATAACAACCCATAGTGGAAATTCAACTTGGAAAACAGTGTAGTATTCTTTTATATTGCCATGTTCCTATACACGCAGAACTTGAGAAAATTTTCAACCAATATCTCATTTGATGTTCTTCCTCTCCTGTAGTTCGTAAACTTAACTTGCAGTCTTCTCCATTGATTGCAATCCAGTCTATATTATCATACGATAGCTCATTAACAGAGTATGATTTCATTGTCCAGCTTTACAGCTTTATCAGTGTTTTGAAAGCTGGAAGGTGTAAAGCAAAATTTCCAACTGACAAATGGATCCACATCCCAAGAGTCTTCAGTGAACTCAATGTCTTGGCGTCTCACCCAACATGCAATCCCAATAAGAAAGCTGTTGACAAAACAAAGCCAAGGGACATTCATCTCAATGTGGGCAGGAATCTCAGCATTAAGTAACACAATGAGCATTTGGAGCATAATAAATGGTGTCCAAGTGCCCATAAAGCTGATCAGAAGTCTTGACAAAAGATGTTTTGAACGATCTCTGGCGCTGCCCTCAAGTTCATAAGGAAACAGCAGAACAATGTCTCTATCAAAGGAAATAAACTTAGTGGATTGCATCATATTTATAATTTCTGACCAACAGAAAACAAGAACCAAGCATATTATGGACAACATACCAAGCGAGAGCCAGTAACTTTGGCTGCTAATGTAGAAAGGACATTGATGTCCATAATTGTCATTATTTAGGTTTGGCCATAAAGAACTGCTCTGAAGATTCAGAACATAACCAAGCACAGAAATCCATGTGAGTAACACAGCAACGATGTACAGTGATTTCCAACATTTATTCTGATATTTGGAAGTGTGGGTTATTGTAAGGCAATAATCCAAACCAGCTATCAAAGAAACTGGGTAATGTAAAATTCCATAGACAAAGGCGGTGATCTGAGGCAAAAGACAGACGTGGTACTCAGTAAACCTAATCTCCCCAATCAAAGCATTCCGATTACAGAAAATGAGGAACATCATCCCCAGAAGTATCAAGTCAAAGATAGCTAGTGAAATGCAGAAGTAGCTCATAAAACTCTGATGGTGACTGGGTTTTCTGACTTGCAATAGAAAGAGATTGAGAAATACTTTCCCCAGCATGATAAGCAGCAACGCTCCATTAGCTTCAGAAGGCAGGACAATATGACCATCTTTAAAATTCAAAAACGATGAATTGATGACTGCAGCCATAATTGGCAATGTTGACAGCTGTTTCCAGCAACAGGTCATACCTAAAACATCAAGACAAGATATTATTAATCTTAAGATTCTGAAAAAATGAACCTTTCCAAAGAGTGAGTTTACCTACCTACCTATCCTCCCTTTTGCCCTACCAATCTACCTACATATCTATCTAATCTATCTATCTATCTATCTATCTATCTATCTATCTATCTATCATCGTCTGTCTGTATATATATCTATCATCTAATTTATATGGCTACCCATCTACAAATGTGATAGAATAAAACCAAGTATTAAAATATTTTTCATAAACCACTAAAAAATTAAACATAAATAGAAACAAGATCACAATAGAATGTATCAGGCTTTGGGGGGTTTTGTTTGCTTGTTGCCTTTGAGTCAGTGTTGCCTTCTAGTGATTACCTTGACAAGTGCTGCAGTTCTTTGGTCAAGATTTTTCAGAAGTGGTTTGCCCTTGCCTTCTTCCTACAGCAGAGAAAAATTGACTGGCCCAAGTTCACCCAGCTGGCTTTGTATCTAAGGTAGGACTAATCTCCCAGTTTCTAGCCAAAAGGTTCAAACCATTCCCAGATAACAGGGCAAGACTGTGGCCAAGGCATCTCCACAGGATCTGCACCAATGTTGGCATTTAACGGCACAAATTGGAGCTATTTTGTCCAACAGATGCTGTGAAAATTCTTCAGCATGGCCTTGCAGACAAATCTCTGAGTCCCCCTTACCCAGCGGATCAGTCTAAACAAGGCCGCTGAAATGCACACAGTAAAAATGGAGAAGTTACCATCAGGAAATTAAGGTCCCAATTGTGATCCTAACTTGAGGACCACCTGTAATCCCATTTCTATTGCAATTAGTAGTCTATATGTTATGTTTATATTCTTGAAGAATAGATTGGTCAAGAGTTATCAACCAGCACAGATTGTCCATATTCTTAACCAGTATAATTTGCAAACATCCAAAGTTAGGAACAAATGCAGGGGTGCTGGATTAAATGGACAGTAGCCTGATCCAAGAAGTAATTTCTTTCATTGTCAAGGTTGGATTGTTGCATTTTTGTGATTTGTGTTGTTGCAAATCTATTATTTGGAACTGAATCATAATCTTCCCATAAGAAAGATCAGCTGGACCTATTAACTAAGTGGCACTACAGTGTACAACTAAAATATATAGTGATGTAGTTCCTATATAGACCAACACAGCCAATATTGAAAGAAAGCATTCATTAGGATAGATGCAGTTTTATTTATTCAGTCAGACAGACTCTGCAGTCAGCAGAAATGAGCATTAATTCTGGAATAATGCAGCCTTTATCCGTAGAAAGAGCTAGTCCCCATCATACATGGCTCAGACAGTTGCATTTTACTATTCTGGAATCAGTGTATCTATTATTACCCCCCTTTTTTTTTTGTTCCTATTCTGATCCACACTCTTACCCTTTAAAATGTTATGACTCAGCTTAAAAAGCTTGGGCTGCAGTCAAATTCCTACCTACAACGTCCAAACACAAAAACCATTTTGTTTAACTTGTTGCCACAAAAATAGTGCCACTGCATCAAATAGAATTAACATCAGATATTTGTGATCAGTGCTTAATCCTGTGCACTCAGCTATATCATTACTTTTTACTCAAAGCGACTTACACATTTTGTAAAGCAAGTTTTTAATTCTCCAGGTCCAAAGAAACACTACATGAGATGTGTTAGTTTAAAGATCTCTTTAATACAGACTAAAAAAAGCAGGTAACATGTATAGCCCAAATATGAGCCAATCTGATGATTAGCGTTTTTCTTAAAATGGTACAGACCATAAATAAAAAACTTTATTTGTTTTTCTTACACAAAACTGTTCAGTTTTGCAAAACTAAACTCCTATCTTGTTCTGCTATCATTACCGGACATTTTGCGGATTTTCCAGCTGCCACAAACGAAAAAAATATATTTGCAACTTACGATATATGTTTGTAATCTTGTTAAGATTTCAGAGTATATATTCTATGTTTTCTTTTTTTACCTGTGTTTCTTTTTTCTGAAATATGATGTGAATGTGCCTTACAATAAATAAAATAAATAATACTGTAAATTTCCTACTATTCTATTTCTATTCTTCTTTAAGCTAGGCATCTCTATATGCTGTTTTTATGTATTTTTAGGTTAACACTACATTTTTATTATTTTAACTATTCCATCTTTAAATCTCCCCTCCCCGCCTTCCCCAAGTCTCCAGCTTTGTATCGAATTCAGTCCATTTGGACATGAAATCCCTTTTCACCATAGACTTGTGAAAGGGCTGGTCTTTCCCCTCCCTAGTCACTAACACAGCCCTCTTTCTGGAGTTGGATTGTGTGCGCAGTGGGTTTCGTATTCAGGCCTGCTTGTACTTTCCAGATGTTTCCTTCCCCCAAGTCCCAGCTTTGCCTCTCAAGAATTAAAGTTTTCTCTTGCTGTCTAAAGACTACAGTACTGATGGCAATGGTTATTTTGAGGCTGGAGTTTGTCCTTCGAGGCATCTGTGCTGTTTTCCAGATATGATTCTTTCCCTTAACAGACCCACATAGATGCTTGTTTCCAGTTCCTTTTTTGGGGTTACAAACTCTCCAATTAGACTGGGGCTGTCTTAACCCTTCTTCTCAAATACAGGTGGTCCTCAACTAACAACCATTCATTTAGTGTCCATTTGAAATTACAACGGCACTAAAAAAGTGACTTATCACTTATGACCATTGCAGCATTCCTATAGTCATGTGATCAAAATTTCTAAATACAGATCAGGATTGGTGGATGGCCACCACAGAAATAGCAATAGCAATATAGCAACTTAGACTTATATATCTCTTTACAGTGCTTTACAGCAGGGCTTTTCAACCAGTGGTACGGGTACCACCTGTGGTACATTGGCACCTGGCAGGTGGTATGTGAGCATCCTAGAAAAGTGGTAGCGGGGGAGGGGAATGAGCTGAACTGGTGGCAGCAACGCACAAGCCTGAGCGAGAGACAGCTGGAGCTGCAGGGCTGTCAGGCTCAGTGGAAGCGCCAGGATCAGTGTCGCTTTCCAGCTGATCGGCACTTCTTCGGGGCTGTCAGGGCTCAGTGGAAGTGCCAGGATCAGCGCCAGGCTCCAGCTGGAGCTCGGTGCTGATCCTGGCGCTTCTGCTGAGCCCTGAAGAAGCACCAATCAGCTGGAAAGCAGCACTGATCCTGGCGCTTCTGCTGAGCCCAGAAGAAGCGCCGATCAGCTGGAAAGCAGCACTGATCCTGGCGCTTCTGCTGAGCCCAGAAGAAGCGCCGATCAGCTGGAATGTTGCAGCATCTCCAGGGTCCTGTGATTTACATTCATATGCTTGGCAACTGATTCATATTTATGACAGTCACAGTGTCCCAGGGTCATGTGAAATGACCAAACCCTGCTGCAACCACTCAGCAGATGGGGGGAATAAAAACCAAACACCCCTCCCCACCCCTGCTGCCAATCCTCAACAGAAATGCTCACAACAATGAAAACCTCGCACAGGAGGAAGAGCGCCACTAGGCGGGCAGGTAGGTATCTTGCTCGGCTGTGGCTTAGGGGGCACTTTTTTTCAGTGCCATTGTAACTTCGAACAGTCACTAAGTGAACTGTTGTAAGTTGAGGACTACCTGTATTTTATCACTTTTTTTCCTTTTTTTTTTGGTCATCAAGTTTTTGACATCTTGCTAAGCAACTGGTGGTACTTGGATATTGCCATATCCTAAAAGTGGTACAATGGGTGAAAAGGTTGAAAAGCCCTGGTTTACAACATCAGCCTATTACCCCCAACAATCTTGGTCCCCATTTTACCGGCCTTAGAAGGATGGAAGGCTGAGTCAACCTTGACCCTGTCAGGTTTGAAGTTGCAATCCTGCATTCTAACCACTGCACTACCTCAAAGTCTTGTTATTAAGGAGGATTTTTTTAAAAAGGAAAGGAAAGGAAAGGAAAGGGAAGGGAAGGGAAGGGAAGGGAAGGAAGGAAGGAAGGAAGGAAAGAAAGAAAGAAAGAAAGAAAGAAAGAAAGAAAGAAAGAAAGAAAGAAAGAAAGAAAGAAAGAAAGAAAGAAAGAAAGAAAAGAAAAGAAAAGAAAAGAAAAGAAAAGAAAAGAAAAGAAAGAAAATATTTTGGGTGCAAAACTACGTGGGACAAGGTATCCTTGTTGGCAATGACTGATTGAAGTAACTGTTGGCCAGGAAAACAAATTAAGATTGGCTGTCAATTCTCTGCAAGCACTGTCAACTCACAAAGAAATAGACTGGCCCAAGGTCACCCAGTTAGTTTTGTGCCTAAGGCAAGCCAAGAACTCACAATCCCTCAGTTTCTAGTCTGGTGCCTTAATGACTACACGCAATTTTTGAAAATTTCCCTTTTACATTTATGCAGTGTTCTAGAGTAATAGCTCCATCTTAAGAATAAATGAACTACAGGTAAGTCCTTGACTTACAATCACAGCTGAGCCCAAATTTATGTTGCTAAGTTTAAGTGCATTTTGCCCCATTTTACAACCTTTCTTGCCACACTTGTTAAGTGAATCACTACCACAGTTAAGTTAGCAACATAGTTGTCACGTGAATTTGGCTTCTCCATTGACTTTGCTTGTCAGAAGATCACATACATGATCACATGCCTCAGACATCGCAACTGTCATAAATATGAGCCAGTTGCCAAGCATCCAAATTTTGATCACATGACCAGGGGATGCTGAAATGGTAGTAAGGGTGAAAAACAGTAATAAGTCACTTTTTTCAGTGTCGTTGTAACTTCAAACGGTCACTAAACAAATAGTTGTAAGTCAAGGACTCCCTGTATAGCTCTTTTTCTACTAAAGGCTGGTCAGACCACAGTAAAATTATTTAATTTGAGCCTCCTACCAAGGAGAAATTTAAACAATGCATGTGGTTCTATCAAATCAGACAAAGAATGCAAGAGTTTATTCTATCTCTCTCTTCCCTTTCAAATTTTGAAGTTTAGAAATCTTGCCTGACAGAGTGAATTAAAATCCCCTGGAGAACATTCTGGG